TATTAATACCTTTGTTTTACATTTGACTGGGGATACTCTAGGTACTCATCGAAACATTAGTGGCCTTAGGGGCGACTGTTCGCTGGTCCGCCTGTAATATATATTCAACTCAGGTATGAGTTTCCGATACGGCATCGGGATCTGTGAATGTATATCTCTCGTCTTTTATATACTGTACACACTTTTTGTCGGCAAAATCGATACGCAAACAATGGATAGGCAAAGAAAATCGTAGACTAAAAGCATTTGTCAAATGAGAGATAAAAAGATATTGATTTTTATCCATAATTTTTATGTTCAAAAGTCATTTTCGATTTATGTATGATTTGGACTCAAAATCGCATATTTATTTGAATTGAATTCATATTTTTGATTGTTTTTAGTGGTGTTTATGCAGCGAAATAGAAAATTATAAACTAATTGATTTTTCCAAATTTATTTATAGATATTTTGCCTTTTAGTGTTTTTTATTTTGAATTGAATTCCCGTGTAGTACCCGGTAATTTATATGGAAAATAAATTAATTTAGCTGTTATTGTAATTTAATTACTACCCTATTTATGTTAAATACTTGTGTACTGTATTTTGATAGCATTTTTACAGGGCAACTGTATTATCATGTTGCCTGTTTGCCATAAATTCTACTTAAATGCCTAAACTTAATATCCCAATTATTAGCCAAATCGCTATTTATTAGCAAAATATTTTACTTACGAGTTAATAATATTAATAATTTATTTTTTTTCTATTTCCAGAACACTATCGCCGCAGCTCTCGCTGAAAATGGTATGAAATTTCAAATAACAATCTCTTGTATAGAGTTTCCCTTGTTTTTAGCCGTAATTTAATTTATATACTCTTTTGTATTTGAAAAAGTATTATATACAGAGTCTGTATTACAGACCCTATGAGAGATCGCTATCCAAAATAGTATCAATCGATAACTGTGTTAAACACTTACTTAACCTCAGTTTTGACCTATTTTTTGCTTGTTTTTTATATACATTTATCTATTTGCTATATAATTGACAATTATTCCCTAATTAATTGATTCGTTTATTATTTCCAATTAATTCAATCTAATAAATCAATTAAATGGTGAGAATGGATTCCGGCGTTTAATTACCCCGGTTTTGTAGGTCTAAAAATAAAGTTTACGCTATAAGTTATATAACACTAATATTTTTCTTAACTTTTCTTAAAATAAAGTCAATATTAATGTTTATATTAAAGTATGTGAGTATTTATTTTTGGTAGGCATGCCGGTGTTCGCTTGGAAGGGTGAGTCCGAACAGGACTTCTGGTGGTGTATCGATCAGTGCGTTAGCAGCGAGTCCTGGCAGCCAAATATGGTACGTATGTCTCATGGATATGTCTCTTATGATCATTGATTGGACTCATTGCTAATCTCGCGTATAATTTGGCAGATCTTAGACGACGGCGGGGACGCCACTCATCTGCTGCTGAAGCGATATCCGGCCGCTTCTAATCTCATTAAAGGCATCGTCGAGGAGAGCGTGACGGGTGTGCACCGGCTCTACCAGCTGTCCAAAGCCGGGAAGCTAACGGTGCCCGCCATGAACGTGAACGACTCGGTCACGAAGACCAAGTTCGATAACCTATACTGTCCTCGAGAGACAATAGTCGACGCGTTAGTATTCTCGCGATCAATGTTTTTTGATGGCATTTGAGACATCATTATCTCTCTGTCCATAGATTAAAGCGAACCACAGATGTAATGCTCGGCGGAAAGCAAGTCCTGATCTGCGGTTATGGAGAGGTAGGCAAGGGATGTGCCGCCGCTCTCAAAGGCGTCGGTGCTATCGTCTACGTGACCGAAATCGATCCGATTTGTGCCCTTCAGTGTTGGTATGGATTCACACGCTTTTTGTCTGTAATTAGTAGTCACTGATTACGATACCAATTGTTTTTCGATAGTATGGATGGCTTTAAAGTGGTGACAATCAACGATGTCATACGACAAGCGGATATCCTAATCACTGCCACTGGGAACAAAGATGTGGTGATTCGCGAGCACATGGACCGCATGAAGACTGGCGCCATTATCTGTAATATGGGTCACTCCAACACTGAGATCGATGTGGTAAGTGATACCTTCGACATATAGTCTTTAATTGGCGCCATATTATTAACCAATTACTGTATCGATTCTATAGCAAAGTCTACGTACGCCTGACCTAACCTGGGAAAAGGTCAGATCGCAAGTGGACTCAATCGTATGGCCCGATGGCAAACGTATATCACTTTTAGCCGAAGTATGTAATATCCCGTGCGATAGCTAATTAGACCCCGATGCTAATTGGTGACCAAATCTAATTTAGGGCCGTCTGGTAAACCTGAGCTGTTCGGCGATACCATCGTTTGTCGTGTCCATCACTGCCACCACACAGGCGTTGGCACTCATAGAGCTGTTCAACGCTCCCTCCGGAAGATATAAATCAGACGTTTATCTCTTACCAAAGAAAATGGGTATAAATTGTTGAGATAGTGATTACATGAGACATCGCTGATGATAATTGTCTCTCGTTTGCGGTGCAGATGAATACGTGGCGAGTCTTCATTTGCCTACATTTGACGCTCACCTCACGGAACTGACCGATGAGCAGGCGAAGTATATGGGCCTCCAAAAGACCGGTCCCTTTAAGCCTCAGTATTATAGGTTTTTGTTACTATTTTTTATTTGTTTCGTTATGTCTTTGGTTTCACTGCGTTATGGCTTTGTATGGCATATGCTGTCCACTAATCACTAATCGATTGTCTCTTTTTGTTGTGTAGATATTAATGGGAGAGAGAGAGAGAGAAATCTGTCGACGAGTTTACAATCATTCCTGAAATTCCGGTTTTAATTTTAGTCAAATTTTGTTGTAATGTTTTTTAAATTTTGTTTTCTTGAGCTCTTATTTATATTTATTATATTTTAATTCATCGAGATAAATCATCTACAAAATAACTGCACAAAAAAATGTTTGAATTTTACTTTGATCTTTAAGAATACATTTTTTTATATACAAAAAACTATACCGTAATTGGATTTTCAAATAACGAATCTCTTTAGCGAAATGTATTAGAGTTTAGGAACAAATATAACCTTTCATTTGTCTGTTATTTTTTATTTATTTATTCATTTTGTTTAATTTCAATCTCGAAAACACATTACTTATAATTTGTGTTACGAATCTTATTTCAAATCCTAATATAATGAATATGTAATGTAATAATCATTTCGAGAATATATATTTTATATTCGCTTTGAAAACATTAGGCTATGAGTTTATATATATTTTTCAATTTTACTAACATCTTTGTGTTACAAATACTGCTTTTGGACATACACATTATGTTTTTTTATTATGATTTTTAAATTGAGATTAATATCTAGTAATTAAATGAATTTCATTGATGTTCCTCTCATCCTATCGTTTATAAGTAATTTGTTTATCGATTTAATTCATTGAGAATTTCAAGCGAACATCGATTATAAAAACTTTTATTTTAATTTAGTATTCATTTCTAATTTTAGTATTATTTTTAGTTTATTCAGTAGTCATTAGTATTACAATTATTTAGCAAATTATTATGACTCCTTTTAATTGATTGAATGAATAGTTAATAT